CCTCTCTCTCTCTCTCTCTCTCTCTCTCTCTCTCTCTCTCTCTCTCTCTCTCTCTCTCTCTCTCTCTCTCTCTGTGTGTGAAGGACGAAGAAGAAGTGGAAGAAGGAGGATATCGAGGGCAGGAAGAATGTTGACCTCTCCACTGCTTCACCTGCAGGTAACTGCAGCCATGTACTGATGAGCTGGTGTGTCCCTCTATGCTGCAGGTCGCTGGCGAAGGGACCAGCTATGGCGCCCAGGTAAGCTGCCCACTACTCGCAGGTATGGCAACCGCCTCTTCCTAACCTCTCCTAACTGCCACGCCTCTACCTCTAGCTATAGCGCAGTGCTGAAAGTCGCGCGATGCTCCAGCAGCATGTCGCTCAAGGAGTGGAACTCCTGTCTGGACAGGAACTGGACTGGCCCAGCTAGATATAGCGCTGGGCCTGGCTGCAATGCCCACGGCTGCAATCTGGGCCATCGAATCTGAAGTCAAATCGGTGGCCCAGATTGCTGGCCCAAGTCCTGCTCCTGAAAACGGCCTTCCTGGGTCCCTACCGGACGCCCAGGCTCGCCTCCTGATGCAGCAGGAGAAGTCCACTACCGGACGACTCTGAACCTGGCCTAGAAACGGCCCAGTCACGAACCTCGCCTCTCAGAGGCCCCAAACATGGTCCTGGTCTGAACAGACACTGCTCTGTTCGGACACACTGCGAAGTCCAAAACAGCGCCCTGAAACAGACAAAAAGTCAGCGAAATAATAAATAAATAAATCCTGAGTAAAGAAAAGAACATGGATGGTACAGGAAGCGTGCCTAGCCCACCAGGATGGCCATGGGCCTCCAGGCTACACGTCTTGCGCGAAAATGGGTGCACGGCCTGGGGGCCCCCAACAACTGGCGAGAAGTAAATAAATGCTGACTAAGGAAAAGAACCTGGATGGCACAGCAAACATGGTCGTGGGCCTCCAAGTCGTGTGCGAAAATGGGCGCATGGTCTGGCGGTCCCCAACAACCGTCGAGTCCCCCAAAACAGGGCCCATGTGGCGGGCTCAGCATGCAACAGTTCAGGTCACTTCACAAACGCTGACCTTGGATTCCCCTCCAAGGACCCACCTGATAGGTCCATCATGAGTAGTTTTTAACCTGTTATGTGTTTCAGTATCACCGGCTAGGGAAGAACATTGGTTACCCCTTACCGGATCACTTCCCACACTTGTGTATGCATCCTAGACTATCCAAGACCTACCCAACCTAGAGATACCTAATAAGCACCCGATCAGCAATCATCCACAAGCATTGTATCCCGGCAACCACACATCCATGGGCATCCATAGGTCGCACGAGTAACTCACCTGAGTCAACTGACTCACTCTTGAGGTAGGTACTCTCTCCCACTCCTCATGCCATACCTGCATTGTGTCCCTTCTCCCTTAGTGGGACTGTCCTAAAACCTGAAGTGCATTAAAACTAGTCGGTCGTTGCACGTCAATTCCACTGGCCAATGGCCATGAAGATGATAGAAGTCAATTAGTAAACCACCTTCAGTAGCCTGAATGCAATTGGAGCTTCTCTCCTCGCCAACTGACGAAGACACCCGAAGGTTCTCCTTCCGCAAGAGTGCCTCACAGCCTTCTTAATTTCACCTCCTCACTTCAACACACTTTTTCCCTTATCTCGCCAACCCTAAGCCTCAATTCAACACTAATCCGAGGTACCATACATCCCCGCACCTCTCGGAATTAGGATAGAGCAGTATGAAAGTCACTTGCCACCCCAATACTCATTCCCAGCCCTAATCCAAGGTACAAACTTCCCAACTCCTCTCGGAATTAGGACCAGAGTAGTAGAAAAGCAATCCACTACCCTAATCCGAGATGAAGCTGCACTAACCATCTCATGATTAGAACTAGGGTGGCTCCTATCCAGCAAGTAAGGTCTAGCTTTGATACCAATTGTTAAACAGCAATTTCGTCAAAACGGACATCTTTGGTTTTTTGAACGAAATTGAAAACTCGTAAATTGGCCCGATTTAGGTCGATATTTTCAGCTCCTAGGGGTAGGGAAGGGTACGGCGTTCTGAAAACGCCCCACCCCCTGGACTCTAGCCAAGTCCAGATACATGAAGGTCAACCATAGCCAAGGGTCGGTTCCTCTCAGTCTCCCTCCTCCTCACCTCCTACTCCTACTTCCCTTCTCCTTCCTCTGGCATGTGGTGCTTTACCCTCTGCCACCATAACCAGGAGTGCGCCCTACTACTACTCTATACCCAAGGAGGTCTTCTACCTTGCCCTCCAGCTTCACAGTTCCGACATTTCGCCCAACTTCCCCTTTCGGGCTGAGCAGCAGCATGACTGCCAGGTAAGATACCCGCGCCGGGCATTCTGGCCGAATGATATCCTCTCCTACTGCGGCCTCTTAGCTTCACTTAGGCACTGTGTCTACTGCTGCCTCTCCGGGGTACTTAGTCTAGGCCTATTGGGAGCTCCTTTCTTTTGGCGGGAACATTATTGCAGCCTGCAAGTCTACCTCAGGAACTGAATCTAGCCTACTGGATACCGTCAGATCCTTCCTTTTGGCGAGAACATGATTGCACCCTGCAAGTCTACCTCAGGAACTGAATCTAGCCTACTGGATACCTAGATTTGGGCCTGACTACTCGTGACCTTTTGTAAGCTACCGGGCCTACCAGAACTTTGCTGGGCCTGAGTGAGCTACTGGAACATCCTTGCCGGGTACTACCCACCCTCTGCTTGCTCCCTGTTCGTCCCGGCCTCTATCAGTAGTCCATCCCAGTTTCAGTCTTGTCCCTGTGGTTTCCTTACTCCTACTCCACCCCTCCCGGGAACACAGAAAACACAGAGCAACTAAGCAGTTTGTACTCCACGTAGCATTCATAAGATGGGCTCATGGGGCTTGCACACATGCACAGACACAGCAAACTTCACAGAACACACACAAATCTCAGCAAATCAGTCCAGCATGCAGCAATACTCAGAAAACAACGGAAATTCCAGACTAATTCTGCGTGGGTTATTGCACCAAGAAAAAGGACAGCCATGACGTTTGTTCAGGAATGAGGGGTCCAAAATTTTGGATTCTATGTCCCCTATCCCCCAATTGAACATGCCAAAATCCCAACAATTACTACAACTGCGCCACATTCTTTCCATTCTGGTGCAGCCCTTTAGTAAGCACTCTTGACAACTCGACGGTGAGGAGTCAGCTATAACGACTACCCCATTCGAGGCCACAGCGACGAGTTATACGCCAACCAAGACAAGACAGGTGTCCCTCTCTACGTTGTATTGGACCAGAGTCACAACACCTGATCTCCAACTGCAGTCTATCGTTCAATAGACTAAAATTACATTGCACCTACCTATAGCTATAGCCCGAGACAGTTTCTGAAACACAGATACGTCTTGGCCCACCCAACTCACCACCAGGTTTCAATATTCCCAAGAATCTGTCTACAATCTAGGCCCATGTGAGTACTAAACTGCTAAGTTGTGCTATCCGATAACCGAGAGATTTGGGACATACATACTTACCATTGCCATCTTCACCAAGCATGTCCACCATACCCGGCGCACTGGGCCAGCCAGTGTTCCAAGGAGGCGAGATCACGAAACATTCATCACCATCACCCGCTATCCACAAGACTTCACTGCTACCCGCCGACAAGAACCAAAAGATTGGCAACTGCACATCACATTGGGCAGGCTGAGTGGGGACCCATCTGACGGTAATGGAAGTTGGCATTCGTGGAATCGACATCTGGGGGAGGAGCAGAACCAGATACACTGTTGGATCCGTAGGTTGACAGGAGCGAGAGGGGGGGGGGGAGAGGCAGGGGGGAGGAAGGGAAGAGCTCGGTCCCAAGGAACATACCCAGAAAGAGGAACCAGGTAAACTCCATCTTTGCGAGCTTCATCTCTCATTCTTGTAAATGCCTCAGAGGCCGCCTTCCTCAGGTAAACCCTGCACTATACAGACACGCAGAACCTCGTCGTCAAGCACACTACACCTTTTTTTTTTTTTTTTTTGTCAAGTCTGTCATCCAAAGAGAAGAGACAGCAGACAAATGGTAACTAATCGATATTAATATTCATATCAGACAACAGCTAAGAGTGTGCTCACAAAGCAATCAGCCATACGGTGATCGATCCACCGCGACCATCTTCTCCCAAATAGAACATACGCCGTATGGTCATTATATCTGCACTTGGGGCAACTTTCGATACAACGGTAATGACGGTATGTTCCATTCGGGGGAAGACGGTAGTGTGATTCCAATTTCCCATTAATACCTCTCATCAAAAGGGAAGAACGCATCGAACTGAGCCGCATAATTGCCCATAACTTGAGTCATGACTGACCTCGTCCCAAATGAGGGCGGACCCTTTCAGGAGTCTTATCGTCTTCAACCACCAGTACTTCCTAAAATCGTGCCCGTATACAAGCCACAATTTTAGGAAATGTACCGTTCGTGAATAGGTTTCACCCAGTGGACCCGACATTCGCAGACACAGAGATTCGATCCCTAGACCTGTGCCCAAACCCTGTACATTGACCCTGTGTGCTGAGTGAGATTCGATCCCTACAGTCTTCCCCCGAATACAACACACGGTCATTATAGCTGAATTTGGTCTAACTGTCAGTCCAAATTCCGCTATAATGACCGTGCGTTGTATACGGGGGAAGACTGTAGACCTACCCGGTACCCTGTACATAGGCCCAGCGATCTGTGTGAGACTCGATCCCCAGGTCTGTAGATTAGGAGTTAGGTCTGTTACCATTAGGTTTAGGAAGGTCTGTTCTAGAAGTCTCTATCTGAGTCTACTGAGGCCTGGAGTCTGTCTGTAGGCTCTAGAAGGTCGTAGGTCCCTGTAGGCCAGTCCAGTCAGGAAGTACCAGGGGTAGGCCCTGGACCACGCTGTGGGTTCCACACGTTTTGGCCCAGAAGGCCGAACGTCTGGAAGCTTCCCTGGGCCACACGTTTTGGCCCAGGCCCACACGTTTTGAGGGAGGCCGGGTACCTCCGAAGAGGTATAAATAAAGAGGCAGCGTGCAGCCATTCATTCATTCGCCTGGGAGCCATGCGGAAGTGCTGCCTTGGTATCTTGTGCGTGGAGGTCTGTAGGTGCCCGGAGACAAAGTGGGCAGCGAGGAAGACAGCGGCCATAGCTGGGTAGTGAGGTAGACGACGGCAGCCATAGCTAGGAGGAGGAAGGCGACGGCGGCCATAGCCGCCCAGCTGCTAGTGTAGACAGAGTTTGCAGAGTGTGTGTGACTGTGTAGCGTGGACATTCAGGGTGATCCTCGTACGTGCATGCATGAGGGAGAGTGAGGCTGGTGGTTGAGACAGTGTTCGGCGGCCATAACCGCAAGTTGTACAGTTGATTCAGACTGAGTTTAATACAAATTCATTGTTGTTTCTGAGTTGCAAGAGTTTGGTTTTCCATCAGTTCTCATGTCTGCATGTTGTGAGCAAGTCTGAAGTCGAGTCTGATTGCATTGGTATCAGAGCTGGTACCCGTTCTCCACGCCGACGGAGCTGCAGCGGCAAGTTGGAAGAAGGAAGAAGCCGCCATAGCCGGAGCTCGGCAGAGAGATAGATAGATAGATAGATAGAGAGAGAGAGAGAGAGAGAGAGAGAGAGAGAGAGAGAGAGAGAGAGAGAGAGAGAGAGAGAGAGAGAGAGAGAGAGAGAGAGAGAGAGAGAGAGAGAGAGAGAGAGAGAGAGAAAGGGGGACGGCAGCCATAGCTGCCAAGCTCGGGAAAGAAGACAATCAGTGAGAAGAAAGAGATAGACGAGGAGAGAAGGAAGAAGAAAGAGATGGACGTGGAGAGAAGGAAGAAGAAAGTGACGAAGAGGGAGACGAAGTCAGCCATAGCCAAGGTGAAGAAGACGAAGAAGGTCCACCGTAGCCGGGAGGTTGAAAAGTTGACCACGGAAGTTGACCAACATTGACGAAGAGTTGACCAAGGGCCTTGACCAAGCATTGACCAGAGTTGACCAGAGCGTTGACCAAGAGCGTTGACCGGCAAGTTGACCAAGACCGTTGACCGGAGCGTCAACCCAGCTGGAGCGAGAAGGTTACCGGTACCATCTCTCCATGCCCTGGCCTATGCCTTACCCCATGGATGTGCACCTTTACCTTAGTACCTGCTGACGTCAAGCCTGTCAAGTTCAGTCAGTCATATCTCCCTGTCAGTTCTGTCTAGGTCAGTAGGACTCTGTGATTGTGGTCATAGAACCGTGAGTCTAGCCCGAGTAGAGAGCCAAGACCCCTCGATAGAAGTAAACCTGCTTGGTCTACGTGTTGAGGCGCGGAATTGTGTTGATTGTGCACCGTCACCATGGTGGACCTCAGGTCTGGAACTAGTACCACCCCCTACAGCAAGGAGCAAGAGGAGAGAGCTGCCGCTATCCTGCGAGAGAGGAAGGAGGGAATGGAGAAGAGGGAACTGATTAAGCAGGCCAAGATGCTGGCCCTTCTGGAGGAGCAAAAGGCAAAGAAGAGGGAGCTGGAGGAGGAGATGAAGAAATGGACGAAGGAGCATGAGGAGATGGCGGCTATACAAGCGGAGGTGGAGAAAGAAGAAGAAGACGAAAAGCAGGTGGAAGAAGAAGTACCGTTGGAAGGAGAAGAGGTGGAGCCAGTACCAGTAAGGAGGAGCACATTGAGAAGATGACACAAGAGTGGACCGCGCACTTGGAGTTGGGGGGAGATAGGGAGGCAGAATTGGCCATACCCCAAGCAGAAAGAGAGGCGGCGAGAAGGGAGTTGGAAGTAGAAAGGAACCCGGTGAGGAGAAAGGCAAAAGCGGAGGAACAGCAAAGGGCATGGAAGTGGCGTTTGTCCCAAGAAAGAGTTAGGCATTTGGAGGCGGCAGAGCGAGCAGAAAAGGACCTGAAAGCGGAGAAGACCAGGATGGGAAAAATCAGGGAAGAGACCGAGGTAGCCACTAAACTCGATACCCTGACCCAAAGTGTGGAATCTTTACTATGTAATGACCCGTCATAACACAGACTGAGAACACTGCTGATTTCTGAAGTTCTGCCGATGGAATGGATGCCTTGATGAGATTCCCGCATTCTGCTGTGTTTTCTAAGTCTGTCCGTGTTACATCTTCGACTCACACGGGTCCTACCGGACCCGACTTAGGGCCGGAGGGACACACCAGGGCCTAAAGGCCCGACCTTTGAGGGTTACAGGCCCTAAAGGCCTGATTTTGGACTATCACCCATCGGGTAGGCCCAAACGACACTTCGTTTGGGCCTGGCGGCGCTCTTGAAGCTGCCGCCCGCCGATTGAGGCTGAACCGTCCATCTGGACGGTTCAGGGTCTGGCCTGGCCTYGCARCATTGAGGCCASACCAATGCCTACCGGTATAAGTACCGGTACCTGCCTYAGTAGAGGCATCGGCTACCGGAACTCTACCGGCACGGCATGGTCAGCACTAGTGTGCTGTTTTGATGCGCTAAACTTAGCGCAGGGGCTGAAGCAGGAGCGCAGCATAGCGCARCAGCGAGCGGAGCAGCAGCGGGCGACTGAGCTTACACGGCGGTTCTCACCGCCTGAGGTATCGGGAGCTTGGAGGTTCTCTCCTCCTCTCCCTCGCCAGTCCCCTCTCTCTCTCTCCTCTTCCTCCTCCTTCTTCTTCTTCTTCTCCTCCTYCTTCTTCTTCTTCTTCTTCTTCTTCAGATTGGAGAYTATACAGTTGGACAGAGATCAGAGTTGGGTTTCGGTGATACGAGACTGTGGTACTTACCTGATTGGAGACTTGGAGATTGTTGAGGTTGATACTCGGCTGCATCACAGTTGGACACCSKTTACATCTGGACTCTGTTATCTCCGACATTRKTGACCTTTGGTCCTCGACATTTTGATCTTGTTATATGACATTCTGGACTACCATTTCGGAGACCTACCAGACTCTATCTTGTGACCTATCGGTGTGATCTACCTCCCACCTCCTTCGTCTCTCCTCCCACCTTTCATCTGTGTATGTGTGTACGGGATCTGCGTATCGTAATAAATGACCCAGACCCCACCATCTCATGATTGTATGTGTGTGGAGTGATGCTATGTAAGTCAGTTGGTGTGAGTCAGTCTATGTGAGTCAGTCTATGTGAGTCAGTTCGTTATCAGACTTCCGCTGCATAAATGCTCATCCTATATTGGTTGATCTTTGGTTCTACCCATACTCATTGAAGTATGCAACAGTTTTGGTATCGGAGCAGACCAAAACGGATCTGCTCACCAGGTAAGTCCGTTTAGAATTAGGTTATCATGTTTGATCTTCTAAATCGGCGTTGAAGTTCAAAGTTGCAATTTTTCTTCTTTCTCGGTATTCTGTAATTAGGCATTACCGCTATTTTCTTTTTTTTTCTTTTGGTATTTGATTCAGCATTCTGGATTACTCTTTCGGATTCTGTTTCAAAACGGTATGCCATGTAAATCAGGTTCCGAGAAATTCCATCCGAGATGTTTAAAATCGGATTTCTGTTTTAAAACGAAATTAGGGTTGAAGCAGTAGTCTGTTAATTCGGCATTCTGATTTCCATTTCGGTTTTCCGTTTTAATTCAGCACTCTGTGAAATCTGATATTTTGTTTTCCTAAAAACGGTAGTTCCGTAATATTTCGTTATTGGAAYTAGGGTTACGAAAAATTTCGGGTTTCTTAAGTAAGGTGGTAAATTCCGAACGTTTTGAAACCGTAATTCCGGAAATTTCGCGGAAACGCGGAAAATTAGGGTTGGGGCCGAAATTTTCGCGGAAATATTTTTTGTTCATCTTCTTGGAGAAATTCCGAAAGACAGATTTAGCGTTTAAAAATCGGATTTTGACGGTGGGAATTTCCGGAATTTCACGTTTTGAAATTTCGAGCGTTTTTTTCTCTACCGAAATTTCCGAAATTTGTTCTGCGAACTAATCTGTATCTGACCCTTCAATTGCAACTACCGGGCAGTTCACTTGTTAAACGGTGAACTCCCGGTCTCATAGTAATCTCAAAAGAGACCTAGTCATATTACCATTCAAATTCGTTTTATGATTTCATTGATTAATTATCTCGTATTTTTTCATTAATTAAATTTATTGATTAAATCGTTAAGTATTTTATTACGAATTTTCTGAATTGGTTCCGGGAATTTATTTTCGGGTTTTGATTAGGTGTCTATAGTCCAACAAGTGGGACAGGGGATTGTATGTGTATGGCTTAATGGTTCTACCCCTGTTCCCACTCTCCCTACCCCCCCGTGTTCTGTGATCACCGGGATTTCTCAAGTACCGCATCAGCTCAGACTGATGTCGACGGAACAGGACGCCGGGGCACTGCCACGACGCAGTGCCAGAATCGCAGTTCGTGCCCGCCCTGCAGTACCCCCAAGACCGAAGAAACTCAGCAGGCGGACGACTCCAGCAGCATCAAGTACGGCTTTGATGGCACAAGACGCCACCGGACATCATCCCGCATACCCAGTCCGAGGAGCCAATGAGCCAGCGGCTGATTATCGTGGGCGRCTACTGGCATTTACAGAAGCCGTAGCTGTCGTCGAGGCTCGGAAGGAGGCAGCAGAGGCAGAACGTCAGCGGCTGGCCAATGAAGCGGCGGCCGAAGCTCAGCGAACGACTGAGACTGACGCAGCGGCACGAGACAGACGGAATGCCGCCAGCACGGAGTCCCTGATTGCTTGTGAGCATCAGTGGACGACGATACTCCAAGGCATGATCTTTGTGCCTACGGAAGCGCAGGCAGACCCGACACCGGCCGAGGCAGAGAGGAACAACCTGGCTAACTTGATGCTGGACATGATGAGAGGTATTATGTGGAATAACACACTGCTGCAGTCACATCTGCGCACGGACGTAACGCAGCGACAGACGTACAAGAACGACATTTCTGTTTTATCAACTGCAATCCGCGCCGAAGCAACGAAGCAGCAGCAACAGCATCAACTGTTAAATTCAGCTCTCACACGCATCAACAGCATTGAGGCTAACGCCTCAGCAGCGCCAGGCTGCACGACAGACGTGACGAAGCAACTCAACGAGCGCATCGATCACGTCGTCACCATCATTGGCGACATAGGAACTTTCAACGGACCAGACTCGATCAGCAGCACGGTGGCCGCCATCAAGACGGACATCACCAAGCTAAAGACGAAACCTGAAGCCGCTACAAAGACGTTCAAAATGCCACACTTCGACATTAGCAAGTTTGACGATTACAACAAGTCGGACGCCTTGTCATGGTGGCAACGCTTCCTCACGGAAGCATCATGCCGCATGGTCCCAGCGGACGACATGTTGAAGGCACTATATCTACAGCTGATTGGAGGAGCGAAGGGATGGATGAACCACCTAGCGGCTACACACAAGTGCACTATCGCCGAACTCCACACGCACAT